CAGTGAGTTACTGCCAGATTACCCTCTTGAACAATGTCAACTCCCTTCTCCATTTTCTCCTTTCCCCTTGCTAAAAAACCTTTCACTCTTTTCCTTTACATAGTCTATTACAGAGGTCTAAACTCCTTAGCCTGGAATTCAAGGCCTCCCCACAACCCATACACATCTTGTCATATTGTCAGCACCTACCCGTTCAGCCACATGTCCCACTATTCCTCGTTGGTTGCCTTATGCATCCATCAAACTGAACTAAGCTCATTTTATCTCAACAACTCATTTTTTGTCTATACATTTACTTATAATGCTCCCTCCACTGGAATGCTGATTCTCCTAATTACAAGATATGTAAATTCTATTCACTCTTTAAGGGGCAGCTCAAAGCCCACCATCTCTATGAAGCTTTCCTCTATTCCTCCTGCTGGAAGAAGTTTCTTTCTTCTCTGAATTTCCATAGCACTTTATCTTTTTATGGCACTTGGTTTTTATTCTATCATACAGTTTTGTATGTACATATCTGGTGTCACTACCAATCTGGAAGCGCTTTGAGAAAAGAACCATGTTTTATACATCTTTATAAGCCCCAAAGCATTTAACAGTATCTAATGTGTAGTTGGTATCTGATAAATGCTGAATGAATTTTTAAAAATCAAAAGAGCACTTGTGAAAGGACAATTTAAAGAATATTTATTGATAAGATTTCTCCATAGATTTAGCTAAAAATATTGACAAATAAAAATGGCAAAGTAATAGGATATATTGGAGTATATGAGGAAGCCATTTGGTATAAACAAATTCGGCTTGACCTTGTCTTTCCAAAAGGGCCTGACCGAGACCGTTGAGCATGCATTGTATATCTGCTTTAGACATTCCCTATGGCAAGAACAAAGGCCCTTGAGATAAAGGTGCGACTTCCCTCCCCCTCCCTATGTTGGCATCTCCTTAAGGATTAAGCATCTTTCTTTAGGCTACGAACTGATTGCTGAGCTCACCTGCTACGACCACCCAGCTCAAGGCAATAGGCTTGCCTCCTGCTACACCCTTTGAGATAGGAGACCCACTACCTGCTGTGTCCATCAAGTGCTGTGCCGACAGGGCAATCTTGTGACTATTGTGGGAGGGACATTTCAATGCTACGTGAAACACCCTGTTTGGGGGTATATAACCACTCTGTATACCTCACTTCTTTGGTGCCCTTTCTTCCTTCGGGAAGAAAGGCCCTGGGCCAAGGTCCTCAGATTTTAGCTCAGAATAAACTCTCCCAAATTTTCATTTATAGATTGGTTATGGGTTATTTTCATCGACAATATTAATAAAATATTGTATTCTGCAATGTTATCACAATCTAGTTCATTTATTATGCAAAGTTACACAAATGATTGCTCCATCAATTAAGGCTAGATAGAAATTATTTTTCTCTTATCCTATCTATTCCTTTTAGTTATTAGGTGTCCATTTCCACATAGTTCTCAAAAAGATCTCAAAATATTTTTCCAGCTTTCAAGTTTTAAAATTTAATTTTCTATCCTTTGTTTCTTGTTCTACAATAGTTTGTGACACTTTTAGTAGCAATAACTGGTCAAGAATTTCAAGGTAAACTGTAAACTTTTATTTGTTGATATTTTCTATTTAATCTTGTTTATTACGTTTAAATACCTGCCATATTTTTATTTGACCAAGCTTGAAAAAAAGGTACTAGTTAAGACATGTTAGAGTATAAAATGTCTTTATACTCTACTAGGAAAATGCTCTCAAAACAAGTGAATGGTTGTGTCAACAACGGACCTATTTAATGTCCCTAAGATTGAGAGCAGACTGTTTTAAAGCTCCATTTTATGATGTTTTCAACACTGAATGTGCTACTTATAAGTGTTTCCTCAAGATGGGGTAAAAATTGAGATTTTCTAAGATCTAAGTTTCTAAGTTGGATTCCTAAAGTTGCCCCTGCCATTTAGCTTTTCATTCTCAAAGTCACTTTCCTTCCAAATATTTAACTATTGTGAATTATATTGAAGTTGCTATAGGTCAAGAAACTTTATTTTTCTAAGTTTTAGGATACCATTTAGTAAAGAGAATGAGAAAAAGTTTTATACACAAAGATACGATATATTCAAGTAATAGAATGTTGACTGGGACTCTTTGTTGGCTGATGACTGAACACAAGTACTCTGCTTTCTAAAGAAACCATAAATAATTTGGGTTCAAATACCCCCCTCAACGTTCATGAAGAGACAGTGGTTCTACCCTTAAATTGTTACCCCAGTCCTCTCCCCTCTACCCCACCACACAAAGTCCATATAAACAGAAGTGTGTATGGACAGATTGGGGGTGGGGAGGAAGGGAGAGAGAGAATGAATTGTCCAAACTGTGAAAGAGAATTAGTTTGTCAAAGCTGTGATGAGTTCTATTCCCCAACTCATCCTCAAGGCAAGAGAATTTTAGAGAATCACTTGCAAAAATTGAAGGCATTTGCCAAGAAACTATTTGAGCATGGTGAAAGAGAGCTGGAAAAGGATATCAAGGAAGACAGCAGGGGAATAGTGAAGCACCTATTTTCCCATTTCTTAGGGCAAGGATGTGTGAGCCCCGTGTGGTCAAGTAGGCGTCGTTGAAAATAGTTGGCCTTGAGCCTTCTGGCCAGTGTCTTCCGAGAGCAAACATCTAAAACCTGAGACTGTGGACTGTACCACTGAGGTGGGAGCTGAGGGGAGTGTGGAAGAGATGGAGTTAGAATGGACCTCCCATTTAAGGTAATGTGTACAATGGGGAGACCTCCCAGCTCACAGACCACCCCCCGTCCCCAAGACTCATACATATAGCACCTAACCAGAGAGAGCCACACTTATAGGCCTGCTACACCAAGGGCAGAGAAATAGTAATAGCCAAAAACGAACAAAAAATCCTACACTAAATGGATTTAAATAAGTAAAAATTGCCTAGAACGGAAGCCCTCTTGGGTTATTATTATTAAAGGTAGCACTAGATAAGTAACAGTCCCTTAAAGTAACTTTCCACTTCTCTGTACCTTTCCTGAACTCCAATTTCTTCTTTCATAAGGACACCAGTCAGACTGGGTTCTGGCCCACCTTAACGGCCTCATTTTAACTTAACCCCCTTTAAAGGTTCTATCACCAAATACCATCACATTGTGAGGTTCTGGGGGTTAGGGAGTTGAAGTATGAATATTAGGGGAACACAATTCAGCCCACAACACCAAGCAAGGGAGAAAAACGCCATTTTAAACAGCAAAAAGCCTAGAAGGTTGAGGTCATTTGTAATAAACATATAAGGTGGCCCAAATGGCCAGTGCAGGAGAGCAGTGCACTGGTAGGATGAGGTGACAGATACAGGCTGGAGTTTGCAGAGTTGGCGTGGTCTCATCAGAAAGAGGAAGGTGAAGCCTTAGTTAATATCCACGACTCAAGGATTCACTGCAGCGTTCAGCTGGAAAGAAGAGAGCACTTCCCTGGCCAAAATTTAGCTATAAATGCATAGCCCCATGATGTAGGGCACGGGAGTAGGGTAATTAATGCAGTACTCTTGCAGTCAGTCACAAATGGAATCCTTTTGTCTACATAATGATAGAAGAGACCGGAATATTCAAGCAAACTCCAAACAGTTGGGAGACAGATAAAAAAAATCGAGATGAGAAAATAGGTGTGAGATTATGAAAGGTAAAATTGAACTGAACTCTGAGTGCAGGAGGGAGGGAAAGAGAAAGGAAGATGAAGCATGCACTGAAAGCGTCAGTCCCTTCTCTCCCTGGCCGGGCAGGGCAGTCTCGCTGCCGCCTGCCACAGGTGGAGTACAGCTGTTTGAGGGGAGGTCAGAGAAAGGACCTGAGCGCCAGACTTCTTCCATTACCTTTAAGCAGTGCCGCAATTAAATCGAACTGTTGCAACGCCTACAATTACTTAAATAAAGTAGTTCCACGTGGCTTCTTTTGAAGAGAATTGGGCCGTTTCCTCCTCCTACTTTTCCCTCCCCAGGTCCATCTCTACACATCTTACTAGTTTAATCATACTTGTACCATTAGGAAATAGTTGTGGATCTTGTGAAAAAGGTCTTCCTCGGAAGGTTTGACTTCAGCTAGGATGCATGCCGTAGTGAAAATCTACTCCTCTTTTGAAGTGAGCTAAACCAATAAGGTGGGTGTTTTTTGACTTCACATTTTTAAAGAAAATCTTTAAAGGTTTAAGACCCGTATTTACTGAGACAAGTCAGATATTGTCAGATATAAAAAGGCACAGCTGTTTTTCTTTTTTAAAGAAATAATTGCCTTGAAAGCCATCTACAGTTACTGAAATTTTGATGTGCCTGCTATGCCACTTATCTGCTGGATCTTCCAACACTTTGGCAAAACACCACTGTACAGCTGACTCTTAAAGGAAGTTCCTGTACAGAACTCTCCTCTATCTGCACAGCTCTGTAACAGACCCTGATCATAAACTGCAAGGGAGGAGGAGGGACCTGGGTTACTGGGGTAAAAGCATTTACCTTTTGAGGAGACGGAGTTAAAACACAATGGATGTTTTTGTACATATTCAAAATTACGCTTGAGTTTCCTGAAAAAGCTATGATAAAGAATTTATAAACCATTTCTTCAAATTCTGGGAGTGCGTGTAACATCCCTCCTCAGCAAACATTTCCTAGGTCAGGATGGCTCCCCTCAGGCAGTAAGTTTCCATAACTAAAAGGATATCCCCGCACACTGAGAGGAGCCTGGCAGGTTAGGGGTAAGTTGTACCCAATTTGTCCAAGGCCTCCACCCACTTAGTTATTAACCAAATGGGAGGATTTAAAAACAGGGCTAACCTGGGGTTGGCCCACTGGCATAGCAGTTAGGTTTGTATGCTCCACTTTGGTGGTACAGATGTTCGCTCAGGGCCAATCTTCCTCACCAAAAAAACAAAAACTAAAATGCTAACCCACAGAATTCAATACACTCAAGCATACACTCAACATCACCAAATGACTTATTTGGAATCAGAATTAAAACAACATTTGACAGTTGTGAAATTTATGTTTATTCTGATACTTCCAGTCAGCAGTACAACTACTCTAGGACAAATTACCAGAGAAATTTTACATTATTTCTTCAGGACTGGGGTTTGTCGAAGACTTCAAATTTGGGATCTAAGAAGAGGAAAAAAAGGTTCAGGCTTAGACATACTGCAATAAAACGCATTATCCAGAAGGTTTCATTATTTAACTCATCAATCTTCTGATTTTTGTTTTTTAGTGAATATCTACTATTTTTAAACATCTACGTGGAAATTTAACAATTGCTAAAGATTTACTCAGCACTTACTGTGAGCCCGGCTTTCTATTAATTGACCTTACATATATAGTCATTCAACGGTAACAACCATATGAGGAAGATATGATAATTCTCCCTAAACATCAGGTGGGAAACAGGCACCAGTTAACTACTCAAGATCACACAGCTTGTAAGTGATATTGCCAGGATTCAAAATCAGGGAGTTTGAGGGGCCGGCCTGGTTGCATAGTGGTTAAGTTCAGTGCACTCCGCTTCAGCGGCCAGGGGTTTGTGGGTTCAGATCCACTCATCAAGCCATGCTGTGGTGGTGACCCACATACAAAATGGAGGAAGACTGCCACAAATGTTAGCTCAGGGCCAATCTTCCTCACCTCCCCCAAAAAAGATCAGGGAGTTTGATTTCAGACCCCTACCATTTCACCTCTATGTTATGTGAGCTCCTATACCAAGGGCAAACACTGATCCCACAGCTTCCCATCACACATCACTGTCCTAAAAAATTCACATGTAATTGTCATTTAATCCTCTAAACAATCCAAGTTAAGTATAAATATTCTTCACTTAAAATGATTTCCCACAAGAATGAATCCATAATTAAAAGGGACTTACCTTCAAATTTGAAGTTAGGGAACGTGTTCATGTCTGCTTTACCATACATTTGCTTAAGCTTAAAAAGCTCCCTCTCCAGATCTTGCTGATACTCTGGACCAATATCAACAGGTCCTCCTGATGTCCTGTTGTATAAATGAGCAAGTAAAAACTCATTTCATGCACTAGTTTACAAAAACAAAATTACTTTTCACTATCAAGCTTCAATAGCTTTTAAAGGTATTCACGTAGGAAAAATAGACTTCTGAAAGAAAATGAGTATTTCCACTTGAATTTCAATTCAAACTATTTTAATATGATGAGGTTTCACATAAATGAGGCAACTTCAAACAAACCTTTAATGTTCAAGGTTTGTTAGTATTAAGGATACTTATTCAGTCAGAATCTCTCAGGGTCTAAGCTGCAACAAATTATAATGGCTAAATCTGTAGGCTCTGGAGTCGATGCCTGCTCCTGTTTGAACCTTAGCTCTACAATTCAGCAACCGCATAAACCAGAGCAAGGCATGAACCCCTCTAAACTCTAGTTTCCACGTCTAAAACTGAAGGTCCTACCTAACGGCAGTGTTAAGAGAATTATAGAGACAATGCACATGTACCACTTAGCATCATGCCTGGCACACAGTGAGCACTCAGTAAGTGTTGTCTACTATTGTCTGATTTAAATCAGCCACCACCAAATGGTGTTTAAAAGAGCTCAGTGACTTTAAGTTTCGATAATAGGGACCTAACAAAGAAACAAATTATTTCCTATCCTCAGAGGTTTTGCCATTTTGAAGAAAGAAATAACATGTTTATAAATATTTATGCTGTAAGAGTTATGTGATAAACTTCAAAGATGTTTAAAAAGCTACTCAAACTGAGAGAGCACTTTGGCTGAGCTAATTAGGAAAAATTTATTTTAAAAAGGTGGCACTTGTGACAAATCTTGCCTTTGGGTCAGATTTTCAGACATTCTAAGACTGAAAAAGCAGAGATGTGGAGGTGGAAAAGCATCGGCTGGCTCTATGTGGGGAATACTAAAAAGTCTAGATGGAAAGGCCAGCAGGACCCAGATCAGAGGAGGCCTGGAATGTTAAGCCCAGGAGTTCGTATTTTAGTTACTGAGCCATAAAATGACAAAATCAGAATTGTGCTTTGGGAGGATAAACATAGCATCATGGACCAGCAATGGGGCCAAGTAGATCTAATTAATTCTTTGCACAAATTCTTCTGTGTTTGTCATGTTACTGGCTGCCTACCAATGAACAATAAACAAAAAATTTACAAGTGAAAATTCCATCAAGGGTAATAATATTTTCACATACGCCTATGATAAAAGCATAGGGTCTTACTTACACTGAAGAATTTCCACAAAGAATACAGAGAAGCTCTAACTTAAGAACTTGCTTATGATGTTTCTTGTCATGGACCCAATTTTATTCTAGATCAGCATGTGCAGTAGAACTTTCTGTGATGACAGAAATGCTCTATATCTGTGCTGTCTGGTATGGTAGCCACTAGCCATATCTGCCCATTATGCACTAGAAATGTGGGTAAGGTGACAAAGGAACTAAATTTTTATTTATACTTAATTGTAATTAATTAGAATTTGAATAGTCATGAGTGGATAATAGCTACTAAAATATACAGTACAGTTCTAGACAGAGCCTTCAACCAGATACTTTAATGACAGTCTTCCAGCTCTGGGATCTACAAGCTTTAGAAACCGCTGTGAGGAGATCTAGCCAGTCTCAACAACATACTGGTTACTGACAGATGATGGCTGTTACAACTTTAATATGTACTCTTACGATCAAACAGAGCCAGAAATCATCTACCTTCTCAACTGAATATAAGTCTCCCAGCCCATCTCGTTTATTACTATATCCCCAGGCTCTAGCATGGTGACCAGAACACAGTAGACACTCAAGGGACAGTTGTTTATTTCACTTAAAATAATCCAGGCATGCTAATTTCTTGAATCACTTAATCTTATAACATCCTATGAAACAGGTACTCATGTTATCACCCCATTTTACATAAGGAAACTGAGGTAGAGAGTTAAATAACCTGCCCAAGGTCATAAAGCTAACGCTAGTAAGTGGCAGAGCTGGATTCCAGTCCCGAGTGCATACTCAGAACACTTTACGCTGTTCGCACAAATGAATGAACCACAGACTCCTAAGATTCAGGGTACACCTAAGGATTAACTTTGCATTGCACAGGTTTTTTTTTTTTTTTTGAGGAAGATTATCCCTGAGCTAACTACTGCCAATCCTCCTCTTTTTGCTGAGGAAGACTGGCCCTGAGCTAACATTCATGCCCATCTTCCTCTACTTTATACGTGGGACGCCTACCACAGCATGGCGTTTGCCAAGCAGTGCCATGTTCACACCCAGGATCCAAACAGGTGAACCCCGGGCTGCAGAGAAGTGGAATGTGTGAACTTAACCACTGCGCCACCAGGCCGGCCCCATTGCACAGGTTTTTAAGGACAATTAAAGTGAAACACGATGATGCCACAGCACCTCCAGATAGAAGACACTCAAAATCCTCAACCAGTTCTGCACATCTGCTTACTGAATAGTGTGATTTTAGGCAAATTCTAACCTTTTAGCCTTGGTTTTCTCATATATAAACCAGAGATAACATCTATAAGGTTGCTGTGAGAGTTTCATAACAAAGTCTTCATTTTAATCCCTTCACTCTCTCCCTCCTTAGTTTTGGTGATGACAAAACCTTTTTTGTTAGTTGCCCAGTCTCAAAAGTCTCAGTGTTCTTTAACTGTTCCCTCTCCTCTGCCTCTCTACCAGGTAATAAAGACCAGTTCTTAGTCTCTCAATGTCTTGACTCTGTCACTTTAATATTCCCACTGATCTAAACACAAGGTTCTCATGAATCAATGCTTGATTATTATATTTTCCTAACATGTCTGTGTTCCCTCTCTTCTCATTCCAATTTTCCCAACACACTGTGATTAAAATTGCCCTCCCAATACAGAGTAATCTTGTTCCACCCCACCATCCTGCTCAAAAACCTTTATCACAAATGCCTATCATCATATCTTAAGTGCCCAGTCTATAATCAAGGCCTTCCATAATCTCTCATTCTAATCCCATTCTATCCTTACTGCTCCCTACCCTCCTCATACACCCTAAAGTCCTGGGAAACAGCATGACACAATTTCCCAAAGATACTTTGTGCTTTCTAGTTTTTATGCCCTAGCTCACACCATTCTTTCCTCCTAAAACACATCCTCCTTCCAACCCCACTTATCTGTCCAAACTTCACACCCATTGGTCATAACCTGGGGTAGACCCCTGGGTGTGGGTGTCTACTGATGGCCTTCTGTGGGTTTGAGAACCAAGCTATAAGCAAAATCTTGTGAGTAAATTCTCCACTTTTTAAAAAAACTGGGACGATGATCCATAGCTGTCCATGAGATTCTCAAGTGGGATGAATGACCTCAAACAATGCCTTCAAAGCCAAGACAAAACATTCACTCTTCCAAGCCACCTTCCAAAATGCCTCCAGCTACAAAGGAGCATTGCTTCCTATGAACTCCTCAAACACTGAATCGGTCACTAGCTTATTAGCATCTAACTCATTTTACCTTACATCATATTTACTTGTTTACAAGCTTTCTACCCCTATCAGATTTTAAGAGTATTGTGGAAATGCAGTGTGGTTTCTTCCTTTGTGGCCCACTGTTAATAGCCCAGTGCTTTGCACATAGTAGACAACTAAATAAAAGAAAATGGAACTAGGAATTGATGTACACCACTTTCCCAAAGATTTGAAGGTTCAACTTGATGATGGCTAAGGTCCAAAACTCTGTGATTCTATAATCACGTTTTCCTGGACTTGCTTTATGCCATTTCAGAGTCTTTCCTCCTTTGATATTCTCAGAAATATATACCTACGGATACAGCATTAAAGAAACAAATGCTTTGTTTATACATTTCCCCAAATCATGATGTCACAGAAAGGGTACTAAATAGAGAGTTAGAATATTTTGATTATATGTTTTTCTCCCAAATAGTTTTATGATCCTAGGCTAATCAATGTCTAAGAGAGTTAGTTTTCTCAAATATAGTTCCTAAATGATTTCCAAGGTCCTATGTACTTCTATGAATTGACACTGGTTTATAATAAATGACATTATAATAAGGATATATCTAAAATGACAATAGATTTATTTACTTATTTATTTTTTTGAGGAAGATTAGCCCTGAGCTAACTGCTGCCAATCTTCCTCTTTTTGCTGAGGAAGACCGGCCCTGAGCGAACATCCATGCCCATCCTCCTCCACTTTATACGTGGGACGCCTACCACAGGATGGTGTGCCAAGCGGTGCCATGTCCGCACCCGGGATCCGAACGGCGAACCCCGGGCTCCCAAAGCGGAACGTGCGAACTTAACTGCTGCGCCATCAGGCCGGCCCCAAAAATGACAATAGATTTAATGGGATTCTCCCTTGGAACCCATATAAGGAAGATAAAATTTGGGACTTAAAAAAAAAAAAATCAAGATCCTTATCTTCTTTTGGAGCACCTGATGAACCTCAATGTCAAGGATTAGCTCAGTGACGGTCTTAGACACCTTCAAATACCAAGTACTTTTTTTATTACCATTTCAAAACTTACATACTTTGAATATTTATATTTACACCATGTTTCATTATCTATTCACTTACTGTCTCTTAGTTCTGTATTCTCTAATCTTGTCCACGAAGAGTTTCTGTATAGGATCGAGTTCCTTAAACGCCACTGCTGTAACACCAATGTTCCTCCTCAAATGGACTGAGATTGCAGACTGAACGACAGAGGACAACCTGAAAAGCCTCCGAAGAATCATGGTGATTCTGGTACTGAAAACAAGCGGCAGGATGTTAACATACTTTAACATACATATAATTGTAACATCTCTCTAAATATATCACATAGTGGGAATCTAATTCTACTAATTGCTACAGAACTTAAATCATACCAGAGCTCAGTGAATGCTAAGAACAGTCACCTGACCATAGCTCCCTTCCTGTCTCCACTCCCCACTGCAAGTTTTTTGCTTCTTAACCAAAAGGCCCTGGGATCTAGGAATAGTTAGGAAGAACCAGGCCCCTGTGCAGCTCCACTAGGGTTAACGCAGCAAGAAAGCACAAAATCCGGGAGGGGGTGTTTCTTCTCCGTGAACTTAGTCTTGGACCAGAGGAAACAGCTGAGCTAGGATGTTAGAAAATTGCCCACCCACAGCAGGAAAAGAACGACACTGGCCCCCAAATTAATGTGCCAGGTTTCCCTGACCCCTTCAAAAGGTCAAAAGGGAGCTGGGCAGGGAGACTGGAGACAGTTGCCTCAGCCATGATTGATAGCCTGGAGGTTTCTATTTCACAGGCCCACAGGGGGAGAAACTGCTCTGCCTGTTACAGCTGCAGGATTCCAGGCATTCATGAATACTGTTAACAACCAAATCTAGGTCCAAAAGAACCCCCAAGGAAAAAGAGCAACCAGCCACAGCAGGCCACCAACAAGAGAGGGAAAATCAAGCAGTACCACCTAGTTAGTGACATAAAATTCATGGAAATGAAAGTCTGAATTTTAAACACATTAAAAATTCCAAGTCCTTAGACTTCCTGAAGCTAAAATACATGATTTTTCTAACTAAAAGATTTCAGTAGATAAAGTAGAGGATCATCTCAGTTGAAACCTCATTTAATGTCTCGAAAGGCTGCAAAAACATCCCACATTAGAACAAATATATGCAAACAGGAATTCCAAAAGAAAAGGAATAGAAAAGGAGGCCATATGTAATTAGAAGAAACTTCCCTCAGATTAAGAAACACCGAGCCTATTAAACAGAAAGGTAACAAACCCGATGTTGAAATGGTGATGTAAGATTCACACCTCAATAAAGCCTGGTAAAATTTCTGAACCTGACAGATAAAGTGAAAAACCTGACATGCTTACCGATTCTCACAACCTGCACCCCCCTCAAATTACCTAACAATAACAATAACAATAATCATCATCATACTGACACTGGACTTCTATTAAGTTATAATACTACAGCTCAAAGTGTGGTCTGTGGACCAGCAGTAATATACAAATTATGTTACTGGTCTATAGTAACACAAAAATTGGGAATAAGCATTTAGATTAAATTAAATTATAATTAAGTCAAATTACAGCAATTTGACAGAGTAATTTTTATCTGAATAATAAACAATCACAGTTATTTTGTGAGTCTTCATTATTTGGCCTTAATCTAATTTTTCCAGTAATTCATTTTTATTGTATTCTTAGAAGTATCTACAAGGGTTGGGGGAAAAAATGGCCCCTTACTACAGGAAGCACTAAGCTAGAAGACAGTTGAGCAGCACAGCGGTTCTCAAACGGGGTGGGGGTATCCCCTGCCGATACTTGGCAATGTCTGAAGACATTTTTGGGTGTCCTGACTGGGGTGTTATTGGTCTCTAGTAGGTAAAGGCCAGGGATGCTGCCAAACCTCCTAAGATTACGATAAGAATAATAATAACAGCTTTACCACAACAAAGAGTTATCTGGTCCAAAATGTCAATAGTGCCAAGGAGAAGCCCTGGAAAAGGACATAAAAACTACCACAAGAAATCCCACAATCAACAAAATACCCTTCACCTGCCAGGATGAAAGCAAACTACGCGAAGAAATTAAAGAAGCCAACAAATATCACTCACATCCCATTAGAGAAAAATACTTGAGAAAAGACTCCAAGCAAACAACAAATGACCTTAAACTGCTACTATCATTCCCATTTTACAAATACAGAAACTGAGGCTTAGAGCTAAGTACCTGGTCCAAGTTACACAGTAGAATTTGACTGGACACAAACATTTTTAAAGCTGTGCAACACAATGTATATTTTTCTCTTCTGGCAACTTAAGGACACACTTAACACTTAGCAATAAGGTCACCACCTAACATTTGTTCAGCCGTAGGTATTTTGCAAAGTACTTCCATATATATTCTCTCATATCCTTATGGCAATATTGTTAAGAATTAGAAAGCATTCTTATCCTTCCTTTACAATTAATAAAACTGTGTCTAAAAAAGGTTATTAAATTGCTCATATTCTCACAGTTAATTTGCTCTAAGTCTAAAGGACTGCAAAAATCATGTTATTCCTTCTGCGACATGAGAAAAATCCATGTTCATTTTTTGGAATTCCACCACCTAAGTATTAATGATCCCCAAATCACATCTCTAATTTTGGTCTTCTTCCTGAGCTCTCAACCTATACACTCAACAGCTTTCAGCCCTTCATAAATCTTTCAGGGCCCTCAAACTCAACTCGTCTAAAATATGAACACACAATCTCTACCAAAGCTTGTTCCTTTTCCTTTATTCTTTCATTTTTTTTCCCACTGATTAAATATCTAGTGAGTGTGGACTGTCCACTAGTCCGCACAACACACGTGATTACACAAATAGGTGTAAAATACCAACTCTGATAAGTGCTCTATTCGAGTGACACTGTGGGGTGCGCCACCAGAGCCTATGATACGGATCTGACATAAAAAGAAAGATAGGGGAAGACAACAGCAAAAGAGGGTACGGCCTGCGCAGACGCCTTGTGGTGACAGGCAGCATGGCTCTCCCCTTTGCAGTGATGACACACCAGCCAAAGGGCAGTCCTTTCGCTGCCTGTTCACTGCACAATCCTAAAGTTAATCCACAATCTGCCCAGGCTTTTTCCCTCCTGGAAACTTTGCTGTGTCCGCTTGTGCCCTCTGGTCTCTCCCCCAGTTCAAGCAACCCCCTATCCTGCTCTGCCCCCCAGTCGGCGTCCTGTTCCTCAGGGTTTTTGAGATGTATGATGGTGCAAGGAAGTGAAAGAGTGTAAAATGAGGCTGCCTAACCGAGTTATAGAAATACCAACACTTTTAGGTAGGTTACAAACTTCTAAGATGACGATCACCCTTTTCCATCTTCTGGTGCATGTTCTCCTTGAAACAGAACAACCTCCCGCGCGCCCCGGTTGCACAGGCCTGGCTGCAGACCTGCCCCGCGGGCATGACCTTGGGCTGCTCCAGCCGGGCTGCGTGCCAACGAACCCTCGGACCCCCGCCTCCCGCGCCACCTCGGCGTGCCCTCAGGGCGGGTATTACCAGGGCTCTATCTATATTGAGTCAACGCAAGTTCAAGGCCGAAGCGCCGAGGGCAGCAGTGACCCGGGCCAGGCCGTGAAGGTGCCCGGGACACAGGGCCGCCCTCTCCTCCTCAAGGGCTGAGCTAAGGCCCCGTGAACAAAACCAGAACTGGAGTCCCAAAAGGCCAACCAAGCTAGTCTAGTCTCTCTCCCAGTCACCTTGCACTCAGTCCCGAGCTGCTACAGCCACCGCCGCTGCCACGGTTCTACTTCCGGCCCTGGCTCCGCCCCCACCCGCCTACCCGACCCCGCAATGCATCATGGGTCGCCGTTTCAGTCGGTCGACACTCACCGGACAGGAAGCGTCTCGGAGAGAGTCTGCGACCGGACGGCTCTAGGTGAGACAGAAACCAAACAGGAGGAGGAAGTGGAGGGTAAGTCCTTCCGGGTCTCCTGTCGACGCCTCCGCCATCTTTCCTTCGCCTAACTTGACCTACTGTCTTTTTCCCTCCCGGAAACCTTGTTTTGAACGCATGCGCACTAGGACTGGCCTTACCCCTAGTTCAGTTTCCCCCTTCACCCCCGCCCGGAGTTAGCGTCCTGTTCCTTGGGATTGTTGAGGCGTATGTTGGTGCAAAGTGACAGAGTGTAAAACAAAGCGGATTGGGGCGTTATGCTCCTTTGTGCCTCGTGAGCCCCCGTTGCGTCGGGCGTTCGTTTCGCGCAACCTGCTGGGAGTTGTAGTCCCGGACCCGGGGGTGCCTGGGAGGCGGGAGGGGGGTTGGAGTTTCTCCGCGCCGATTCCGCGGGAAGGGCCCAGGGGCTTCAACACTTCGAGTCGCGGGAGCTACAGGCCTTACCGGAAGAGACACTGCACGTGGAGCCCGCGCCGCCGCTTTCCTCAGCCGGCTCTGGAGCGCGGGCGGGGGCGACAGGGCCGATTCCGGAGCGGGTGAGTGCGGCCGCGGGGGAGGAGGGGAGCGCGGGCCCGCGGGGGCCGGCTTCGTTCCGGGGCCTTCTCCCCCACAGCGGCCCCCCCGCGGCCGCCTCTGTGTTTTGTTTCCGCTGGTCCCCGGCGCTGTGACTCCCATTTCCGTTCGTGGAGACTTGAGGGAGCCGGGCGGGGAGGGGCGGGGGAGGCAGTGCGGGGAGCCGAGGGGAGGGGCGGGGGGCGCGCGGCGCGGGGCGCCTGGGAAGCCGCGCGCCCCTGGGGCCCGGGCTGCTTGAGTCGCCTCTCGCCGCTCCCTTCGCGCACTGTCCCCGCCTCGACTCTCCGGGGTCCGCAGTCGCCGCGGTCGGGATGTGATCCTGACGCCCCCGGGATTTCAGAGCAAGATGCAAAACCAATCTTCTTGCCACCTCAGCGGTCGCTCTCACTTCCAGTCCAGTTGTCCTTCTGGAATTATCGCACAGTTGTATCAAAGCCAGTTATTAACATATATGGTGTCCCTTGGATTTCTTTTAAAAACGAGGAAGTACGACAAGGGGGAAACGACCGGTTAATGTAGCTTGCCAACTTTTTTAGTTTTTTGTGTACTGGAAAATAAGCCGTTTGTGCGTGCTTTTATTTGGGGATCCCAGCTCGATTAGGTTAACGGCAGGGAGGACACCGCCTAATACTGCGTTGCAAGAGGATGAGTAGTAATTTAGAAATGCAGTAGGTCTGATTCGTGGGAGGAGCAAAGATTGAGAAGCGTTCACTATAGCGAAGTGAAGAACTGGGCAGTGATAACACCCTTAGGTCCCGTGTGGTCCTTAAACTTCAGAAGAGGCTGGTCAGCTCTTCGGCCACTACTTTAAGGGGTAACCTCTCTCCCCTAGGGTTTGGTCCAGGCTCTCCAAGCTTGTTTATTTTTAGACGTATTCTGACAGTCTGTCAGTTTTACTTGGATTGCATAGACGACCGTGTGTAATGAGAGGTAAGAAAATCAGTGATGAGTTAGATGTTAAATTAAGGCGAGTCTCGAGAGCGTGTGGAGGCTGAATGCTAAATTAAAGCTGTTGACTTTAATCTCCTCCTTCCGGCTTTTATTTATAAAACTTCAAGTCTACAAGAAAATTGTAAAAAACGAAACAAAACATGAAATTATTCACCCGGTGGGGTCACCAGCCTTTCTTTACATTTGCTTTTTCTCTCTCACTTTCTGTGTATACACGCACACGCAGATGCATGTGCTTTACTTTTTAACTATTCACTTTATTTAAAAAAAAAAAAGTCTTTTAATTTCCTCAGGGGTTAAAAAGTATCTTAGCTTGAGAAAATGTGCGGTTGATCAGGCAGGGATTCCTAGATTACACTTATATTTGTTTATCCTTTATTCATTTATTGTCGTTTATTGTCCTAAACTGTAAGCTGCTAATGTGTTCAGTGAAGAAAAATAATCCTCAGATTTATCTGCGGCTCCAACAGAGAGTGTTAAACATAACTGTATTTTAAAGAACAGTACCCCTTCCTGGAATTTTTAGTTAAATTTAAGTTTAGTTTGTATTCATTTTGCGAAGCATTCTGAACCCTAGGTTAGGTGTAATCTAGGAGAAACCAGGGTGTCGGGGGCAGCCTTTAGGTGGAAAGGCTCCAAGTAATCTTTGCTCTCCGTTTTCTTAAGTATTGATGTAAAATCCTGGAGAATTGGTTCCAGAAAAAGAGCTGAGACCCACTCCAGCAGTGATATCAAAGATTTGGACAATTTCCCAAGTCTTCATTGCTTCTCTGGGCTAAATTTAGAGAACAGAAAGAAAGGAAGATCAATTCAGAGACTTTCTGAGTAACGTGGTTCTTTCCAAAAGTACATGCAGGTCATTTTTTTCTTTATTTGGCACATTCCAGGGACTAATCTCTGACTTTTTGGGACGATCACAGGATAAATTTCTTTTTAACAACTCCCTGTTTTAGTGCTTATGTTGAGGGAGTCACAGGTATCCTCTCTACTAATGAGCCTTTAGGGTCTTTTCTCAGCCACTGGTTGCTTTCTCATATGCTTTTCTATTTTTCCAAAGTTCCCAGGAAATTCGCTTGTTTTCTAATCTGTTTTAAAAAGTTGGTTGTGGAGATGGGAGTAGACCTCCTTGGAGGCCCTGAAAATAGAACATAAATGGTCTTTTTAAGTGCTGTTAAAAACTTATTTTGTGTGCTGAGAAACCTTATTCTGTTTCTCACATTTTTCTGTACAGAACAGGTTTTATGATTTTGAGTGATTTACGATTTTCTTAAGTGATGTGAGAGCAACCTTAATAATGTGGGAAAAATCAGACCATTTTTGTACCAGGCAGTCTAGATTTTGGATGCTAGCTATTTATAGACTAAGTTGTCAGAAAACCACCTCCCCAGCAGTTGGAGATGTTGGATCTGAGGAGGGTTACAGCCCTTTCCTTTACAAAGTGGGAAAGAAGCCTGTATTAGTCTCCCGGTGCTACTGTAGCAAATTACTACAAATTTAGTGGCTTAAAAACATTAATTGATTTTACAGTTTTTGAAGTCAGAAGTCTGAAATGGGTCTTTCTGAGCTAAAGTCAGATGTTGGCGGAGCTGCATTTCTTCTGAGGCTCTAGGAGAGAGTGTTTCTTTTTCTTTCCTAACTTCTAGAGGCTTCCTGCATTCCTTAGCTTGTGGCTCCTTTTCTTAATCTTCAAAACCAGTCATAGCTGGCTAGTTCTTCTCCCTTTGAATCACTCTAGATCTCTTCAGATTTTCCACTTTCAAGGACCCATGTGATTTCACTGGACCCACCTGGATGAGCCAAGATAAGCGGTGTGTTTTAAGCTCAGCTGATTAGTAGTCTTAATTCCCCTTTGCTGTGTAATTTAACATATTCACAGGTTCTGGATCGTTATGGTGCCTACCATGGAGACTTTGGTCCCTTGAGAAGTTGAGACCTGGCAAAGCCCCTTCCACTTCAAGAAGCTAGGGGAAGTTCCTGGTCCAGACAAACCAACTTGAGTTCCTGGGGCCACTTTCAAACAATTTTGTTCTTTGTACTTTGGTGATGGTCCAGTAGAGGAAGAAAGACAATAAATATAGTAAATTACTGATATAGTATGTTAGAGGACAGTGCTATGGACAAGAAGAAAGAATAAAGGGGTAAAGAAGAGGCAGATTACAGAATTAAATGGGGGTGGGCAGGGCATGCTTCATTGAGATGAGATTTGAGCAGAGACTTCAGGGAGGTGAGGGATTCAGCCAGGAGGACTTCTGGGGGAAGTAGGTACCAGGCAGGCAGAACAGCAAGAGCAAAGGCCGCAGGGCAGGAAGCTGCAAGGATGGGCAAGGAGGCCGAGGTGGGAAAGGGAGTCAGAACAATAATGAGGGGGGATGGGGAGTAGATCATGTCGGTTGTGAAGTCTTTAGATTTTACTGATTGGTATCAATTAAAGGAGTGCTATGGTGTAACTTCAGTTTCAAAAAGGATCACACTTGTTATATTGACTGAGAATAGACTGTAGCACAGGGGCAAGGGCACAGATAGGAATACATTTTAGGAGGAGGCTGTTGCAGTTTTCCAAGTAAGAGATGGGGGTGGCTGTTACACTAGCATATACATGCAATGTAGAGCCAGTCTTTCAACACACCATGGCTCAACCCCACCTGGAATAATGTGTTCTTCAGTTGGTACATCTAAAGTGTAACGTGGGGCCGCAGGCAGTTTCGCCTCACTAACCTCTGGATAGTTTTCATGTGAGCGTGGACTCAAAATAAAGCTGTTCTACGTAAAGCATTTGAATGCAGTGCCTGGCACTCAATAAATAATGGCTATTATTAATAGGAATGAATGTTTGAATTCTTCATTTTGTCAGATCTTAAGTGGGAGCACAGACTCTTCTGCAAATATTAGAATACTTAATTTAGAAGACTGTTCCATGTAAGTCAAAGAGTCAAAGGCACTTTGAAGTGCTTTTTGAGATGTGGTGGTAAACTTAGGAAACTCTCCTCTGAACTGAGACTATATATGGAGTCCAAAGACAAATTCACTGACCTACAGGGAGGTTGTAACACCCTGGAACTTGAAGCATTAACAGCTCAGAAATGGCCACAAAGAAATACCAATATATGCAGCTAGGGTATGCCTTACTTAGCACTTTTTAAATTACAGTATTTTTGTACAAATGGTACAGAGTATATCAATGGTACAAAAATCAATGGTAGTTTAATGTAGCAGATAATCATTTTGCATCAGAGAATTAAAAACTGAAGTAATCGTTCGTGTAAAATGTACAAAACCACATCTGAAAAAAATCATTAAAAAATTCCAGTGTGTAATCAGGGAAATAATGTGCATATCTATAATGATTTTGTTACGTTATTTCACTCTTTTAGAACATTGTACTAGCATTTATAAGATACGTGATTTGTAACACAAACTGCAGCTAGGATTAACTTTAATGTCTATCACACTGTCACTACAGTGGTGTGCAGTAAATTCTGCTGACAAAGTACAGCTGTTAGCTGAACAATTGTAGTTCATCTTTTTGTTGATTTTTAAGCTGCAGATTTAAATCCGTTATTAAGACAGTTGCTGTAATATAGGTGACATACCTTTCACTTGATTTTGAAGTCACTTGAGTTAATTTATTGGCTGAGATTGGGCCAAAAAACATCCCAGTAAATCCAAGGGAATGATGAAGAAGCCATGTCAAGTTAATAAACACCATTTAAATAAAAAATAGTTTATAAATATCATTTGTGGATTTTCTTTTATATGTGAGGATTACTTCCTTCTCTTCTACTTACCCCCTGCATTTCTTTGAATAGGGTCTCTACTTCTTGTGTAGTATTTCTCTTGATGTAGATAGTTTCAGAATGTCTTACCGTTTAACTCTTGCAGGGCTGAGCTTTTGAAATACTTCAACCATGACTAAAAGAGAAGCGGAGGAGCTGATAGAAATTGAGATTGATGGAACAGAGAAACCAGAGTGCACAGAAGAGAGGTTGGTGTTTTCTGAATTTACCACTTTTTATTATTATCAACACACCTAATTAAAATTTAAGAGTCAAGCCAGAGTTC